GTTTGAACCGCCAGCCTTCTGGTTAGCAGTCAAGTGCTTTAGCCACTATGCTACCAGAGCTCCTTAGAAGTCGTGTATGATCTTAAATATCCATGTCAGCTTGTCTCAAAATATTTTGGTCTTGCTCTTCTCAGTGAGCCTGATACCCTGCCGTGCTCCTGTTTGGATTTCCGCCTGCAGCTGCTAGACTGTGGGAGTATTTTCCACTTGGCGCTGTCAGGCACCAGCGCCACGTGGAAGACCTGTTTCCAGGCTCATGCAGCACATGTGTTGCAACTCAAAGCCTCAGGAGTAAAAAGCAAGCCTGCGGAGACTGAGTTCTCACCTTCTCCAGACCGTCGATGTCGTTCGGCAGCAGCACGAACATGCATAAGTCATTGTTTTTATATGGGATCCCCAGAACTTTGGCCTGCAAGTCCTCCAGGAAGGTGAAGCTAAAGGAACGCAGCTGCTTCATCATCAGCACTGGCTTACTCATGCTCTGCAACACACAAACAGGGCAAGTCACAGAGGCAGGTGATCACCAAAATCAGTTAGCTAAAATCACGCCAAAGGTAAGATCCCCAAGAATTAGCCACCAAAAACTCCCTGCTGTGGAGTCGATTCTGACTCACAGCGACCTCTCTGTGGGTTTCTGAGGCAGTATCTCTACGGAAGTAGATTACCCAATCTTCCTGCCGAGGACTGGCCGGTGGGTTTGAACCGCCAGCCTCTGGTTAGCAGTCAGATGCCCTGCCACCATACATTTCTGTAGTTTTGAGCTATTGTGGTACTTTTCTTTTTCTTTTTTAATCGGAGTGGCAGTTCAGTGGTGGAATACTCATCCTCCATGCTAGAGATTCGGCTGAGTTCCTGGCCAATGCATCCCCTGTGCAGCCCCTGCCCGTCTGTAAGCGGAGATTTACCTGTTGCTACGATTCTGAACAGGGTTCAGCACGCTTCCAGACTAAGAACAACTGGGAAGAAAGGCTGGCATCTAGTTCTGCAAATCAGCCAATGAAAACCTTCTACGCTCACAATGGCTCAATCCCCAGCCAATCATGGGGCGGCACATGACCAGGTAGCATTCCCTGCATGAGTCGGGGGCTGAATCAACAGCAACTAACAACTGCATGGGTTTAGCTTTTACATTCTGTGTGTAACCACATCAATGAAATAAAGAAGGATCAAACCTTGTTCAGCCAAAACTTCTCCTCCTTGGTATTTTCTTTCTTAAATTCCCTGTCCCATTGCCCTTTAAAATAAACTGTGTTCACCAGCACCAGCCTGGTGGAGCTGTTAAGTGAACCATCTGGAAACAGGTCCTTGATTTTTCCTACAAATGAACAACAACAAAAAAGAAAAATGGTTTAGCAGTCTTCAAGATGATCGGAGATATGCATGGCAGACATGAGGCAGATGGGCTTAACTGATCACTAAAAACCCAGCCAAGGAGCTGCTGGTAGAATCTGTAGAGAAGTCTGTCCATCAGTTATTTACCCCAATGAGGGCAGAAGATGTGATAGTTAAGAGTTGGGGCTCTGAGGTCAGACTGCCTCTGGTAGCACCCAATTGTGCCTTTTAACAGATGAGGAATTCTGGGCCAGGTATTTAAGCTCTCTGTGCCTTAGTTTTCATGTCTGTAAAGTAGGAACAAAACCTGCTTCATAGAGTTGATGAAAGGGATAAATGACTCAATCCGTGTAAAGCACGTACAACCCTACCTGGCACATAAGTACCCAAACCAAATAACTCACAGCTGTCAAGTCAATTCTGACTCATACTGACCCCCACATGGTTTCCAAGGTTGTAAATCTTTATAGTAGATTGCCTTAACTTCCTCCCACTGAACACCGTGTAGGTTTGAACTACGGACATTCTGGTTAGCAGCAAAATGCCTTACCCACTGTGCCACCACAGCTTCCTAATAAGCACTCACAAGTGTTAATTATTATTATTATCACTGCCCATTCCAGTTACAACCAGATATTTAGAGATTATTTATTTTATTGGAAAAGGAGCTGACTTTAATATGTAGGTGACTTCAGCCCATCACACACTAAATACTAAAGAATACCACCTTCACTCAACTGTTGGATAGACTCTCATTTTTCTACTTCTTTTCATTTTCTTGCCCTTAGGGAGCTTTGGTGGTGCAGTGCCTAAGACATATGACTGCTGACCAGAAGGCTGGTGGTTCAAACCCACCAGCCACTCCTCAGAAGGAAGGTGGGGCAATCAACTTCCGTAGTGATACTGCCTCTGAAACCCAAAGAGGGGTCGCTATGAGTCGAAACCGACTCGACGGCAGTGAGTTAGTTTGGTTTGTTTTTTGGTTTTTTGGGGGGTTTTTTTGAGAGTAAGCAGAAAAAAATAGTTCACTCTGAAATAACAGAGGGTTCCATGACAACTAAAATAAAAAATGTAATCTGAAACTCAGACACTAAACTCTCAACTCTTGCTCCCAACAGTGCATCGCCATGTTCACATTCCTCTCACGTATTTCTTGAGTGCTTGGGTCAGACTCGGGGTCAGGGAGGGGAAGGTGGGATGGGGACTCTGTCAAGCTCTCTGCTGTGAGTGAGGATGAAAAGTATATCCTTGAATGCCGTTCATGTGAAAATGAGGTCCAGGGGCTTCAGGTGCAGGTAGCAAGTAGCTGCAGGTAGCACACAGTCTTAATGGGAAAGCTGCATGTTTCCCACGGAAAAAAGGGAAAAGAAACATTTCCACTGAGGGTCCTACATTCAAAAAAGAAAGGCTCTGATGCAAAGGAAAGAATGTAAACCCAATACAGGTCTGAGCCAAGATCCAGTAGACACAAAGATAGTATGGCTCACGGTCATGTGCAAAGAGCATTCTGCTGTTCCCATGTGGTTGGCTTCCTGTGATCCGCTCCCTGACTCCCCTTGGTTCTCTCCACGTTCGCTCATACCATTCCACCAAACCATCTGAGATGCCCTCCCCCACCTCACCCAGCCCTACCTTTCCCACCCTGCAACCCATCTCAAGCCCCCTCCCAAGCTCTTCTCCATGGAATCCCATGCAGCATCACAGGGTTGCATGCATGCAGCAGGTCCTTAAGTGTTTTTATAATGAATGATGCACTCATACTCTACCGTTCATTTGTCTTTCCACCCAGGAATTAATCTTCTTTTTGCTTTCATCAGCTGCATTCACAAAATCAACAGGTTCCAGAGCAGCATGGTAATATTTTTCAACATAATCTAAGTATTTCTTTATGAGAAACAGGGAAAGAAGAGAAAGAAGTTGAAAAGCCAAATTCTCCATTGCCAATATCCCTAAATAATGTTTTATATCAGAATGGTGAATGTCATAAGCAGAGGTCTTAGACTCTGAGCACATTACCTTGAGTACTATCTGAACATCTTTTAAATGATATTTTTTAAGGCTAAAGCAGAAGTCTGAATCAGAAAAGACACTGTTAAATGTTCTAAAAGCAACAGAGAGAGAACACCCTTGATGGGGGCAAAGTTGGGTGGCTAATGTGGGCAGCATGCCTCCAGGACCCTCAGTCTTAAATGGATCATTCTCGAATATAGCTCACAGACATGGTGGATACAGCAAAATTTACCTGAAGGAAGAGGTATGTCTTCTCTCCAAACAACCTGTTGTTTATGCTCAGCTCATAATCATTAGTGGGTTTCTTTATTTCCGTCAAAAACTTTTGGAATTGGTGGTGTATCTCTTCTGTATTCTCAGTCTTCAAAATCAGAACAGAAATGCAATGAGTTATCTTGACCAAAAAAAGCTTGGATTCTTCCCAAATAGACATGGCTGCCAGGCCTACAAACTTCAGTTTGGCAGTCTCAGTGTGACCCCTCGATGTCAGGCATCATTACACAATCATGGGGATTGTGGAAACCATGAGCAAACTTAACTCCACAAAGAAGTCCTCTCTGCCTGCCCACACCACAGACCTTGCGTCTCTGACTCATGTCATGGTTTTGATCTCACACATAATTGCCCTCCAAATGTTTCATAGGCTTTGTTTATAGCTCCTCACAAGACTCTCAGCACTCAAGAAATGTAAGGCTTCCCCAGGTGATTCATCCACTCTAAACTAAAAAAAAAACTCATTGCCATCCAGCAGATTCCAACTCATAGCGACCCCCATTGGGTTTCTGTGGCAGTAAATCCTGGTGGAAGTGGATTGCTCCATCTTCCTTCCATAGAGCGGCTGGTAGGTTTGAACTGCCAACTTTCTGGTTAGCCGTCAAATGCTTTATGCACAGGGCCACCAGAGTTCCTTTTTTCCACTCTAGAGCTTGGAAATTTCTGTTCTAAACAATGGATTAGAAAAGTGACTCCTGCTATGGAAATGGACATCTCTTAGTGCTACATTTTGGGATGAAGAAAGATTTGTCACCATCTCTGGGAAAAATCCACATGAACTCTTTTGGGACGCACTACTGTAAGATCCATACGTTTCCTGACTAAGGACTCAGAAGTGCTCTATGACTGACCCAGCTGACCCCAATCACTTCCCAGGAACAGAGAGGAATGCCATCCCGCTGACTGTTGAGTGATGTCTCAGGACAGGCTGGGGCTTCTTTCACATGGGGTACAAGGAAGAGTCATCTTAGTTTTGAACTGAGCATACTATTCCTGACTGCACCTGACAACAGCAAGGCCTTCTTCCTGTAGATTATGAGAGGGTTTTGTTTGCTTGTTTGTTTTATATCTTTATTTCCTCCTGGTTCCCCAATGCCTACAGTAGTGCTTGGCATATAATAGATATTCACTTAATTTTCTGAATAATTTATAAACATTTAATGACATTCAGATTCAAACTATAAAAGAGTGCTGTTCTCATAAAATACCTGAGGGTGAATCTGACCTTTAAGCTACCTCTTTGCAACTGTGAGCTTTGAATGGCTGGTGGTAATTCAATGACCACTCAGGTTGACTGGGATAGGTTGTGTGCAGATCAAAGTATGGGGGCCTTTGGATCATAGCAGACTGTTAAAAAGAGAAGGATATGGTGGGACTATTTTTCCATTGGGCCAGTTGTGACTGACCAAACCAAAAAACCAAACTCACTGCCGTCGAGTCAGATCCAACTCATAGCAACCCCTCCTTGGGTTTCCGAGGCCATATCACTACAGAAGTAGATTGCCCAAACATCCTTCCGAGGAGTGGCTGGTGGGTTTGAACCGCCAGCCTTCTGGTTAGCAGTCAAGTGCCTTAGCCACTATGCCACCAGTTGACTTACAAATGGGGGAAGAAAGACAGACCTGTAGACCAACAAGTTTGGGGTTTATACTACTTCTGTGGCTTGAGACACTCCAAGCTAGGAAATTAATTTGAAGTAGCCCTGGACTGGTAATCCTCTAGGATCTTATTTCAGAAATAAACTCTCTTCATTAGAAAGGTAAGCACAGCCCAAGCTTCACTGGAGTTCCATAGATTATCAGCCAAATATGAGCTCATACTCCCAAATCACCAACATGAGAAAACAAACTCCATATTAAGAATCAGAAAAAAAAAAAAAAATAGTAAACATTCATATTATGTCTACAAGGGATTTAAATGTTAGTATTATCTGTATCACACTTTAAAAGCAAAATGTTAACTGGGAAAAAAATCATGATGTTGAACATATGATTAAGGAACAAGAGATTACTGACAATGCCAACTATTATCAGGTAGATTTAAGAATCAGCTAAATCTTCTAGATATGAATTAATATAAGCACTGAAATTTAAAAAATCAGTAGATGGGTTAAACAGCAGATTAGGCACTCCCAATTTAGTGGACTAAAGATCAAGCTGAACAAATTTTCTAGAATGAAGCATAAAAATAAAAATTAATGAAAAAAATATGTAAGACAGGTGAACAAATCTGGAAGATAAAACAAAAATTCTGCTATCCTTCCAAAAGGCAAGGAAGAAAGAATGGGAGAATGGATTACCAAAAAAATAAGTGACTGAGAATTTTCCAGAATTGATGAAACCTATGAATTTTCATGTTCAGGCTGGTAGAGTAGTGACTAAGGCACTTGACTGCTAACCAGAAGTCTGGCGGTTCAAACCCACCAGCCACTCCTCACAAGGAAGATGGAGCAATCTACTTCTGTAGTGATACTGCCTCAGAAACCCAAGGAGAGATCACTATGAGTCAGGTCTGACTTGAAGGCACATAACAACAACAAGCAACAACAAGAAAGCACAGTAAATAAAATTTATGATAACTCAAAGAAATCAATACCTATATATATTGAAGAAAACTCCAGGAACAGAAAAAGTGGAAAAGTTCAATATAGTCAGAGATAGATCACCTACTGAAAGATGACAATAAAACTGACTTCTCAACAGCAACAATAGAAGCAGATGTGAAATAGCATTTTCAAAGGGTTGAGAAAAAATATGAAACTAGAATTCAATACATAGCTAAATATTCATTCAAGAACAAAGACACACAGAACTCAACAGCACTTACTACATATAAATCCTTACTGAAGAAACTTCCAAAAAATGTATTACAGGAAGAAGTTTGTTGTTGTTGTTACGTGCTGTGGAGTCGGACCTGACTCGTAGTGACTCCTCCTTTGATTTCTGAGGCGGTATCACTATGGAAGTAGATTGCCCAACCTTCCTTCCGAGGAATGGCTGGTGGGGTTGAACCGCCAGCCTTCTGGTTACCAGTCAAGTGCCTTAGGCACTATGCTACCAGAACTCCAAAGAAAGAAGTTTAATGATCCCAAAAGGAAAATCTAAGTGCAAAAGGGTATGGTTACAAAGAAAAGCAGTAAACGTGTGGTTAAATCTAAACAAATACAATCCCACAAGACGATAATGATAATGTCTAGTTTTGAAATAATAAAGTGGTAAGATACAAGCAAAATATTGGCTAACAATAATATAACAAGGGAAGAGAGTTATTGAAATCCAAATGTTCTAAGATTAGTGTATTATTTAGATGAAAGAGAGAGCTATTAACTAAACTTATTCTTTGTGACACATGTTAGTTCATTCAAATGCTCTGGGTAACTACTAAAAATATATAGAATGCTTGAGTTTCAAATTAATAAAATTTGAGGAATGGTTATTAAAAGAAAATATATGTACCAATTCAAAATAAGGAAGGAATAAACAGAAAACCCCAAATAATGTAATGGAGATCATTCTAAACATATCAGTAGTCAGAATATGTGTAAATGGACTAAACTTTCTGGTTAAAAGATAGGTTCTCAGCAAGATTTTTTAAAATTAAATATTTAAAATGTGTATTCAAAGATTAAAACACTAAAGGGTTAAAAATAAAAGAAATAGATATACCAGAAAAACATCAATTCAAAGAAAGTTTACATAGCTATATTTAAATGTGACACAAAATTTTAAAGCATAAAACGTTACTCATATGATTTAATAAATTATTTAATTCACCAGAAAGATATAACATTTTAAAAATTAATGCACCAAATAACATGGACTCAAAACAGACTCAGTGAAATTTGGCAGAACTGTAAAAAGAAGTAATTAAACCAACCATCAAGGTAGGAGGTTTTCAACCTCTTCCCCACAATTGATAAATCAAGGTGACAAGATTATTTAAAGGGATATAGAAAACTTGAACAAAAAATAAAGTAGTATGCTCTAAGTGGTATATGGAAGCCTATAAGGAATAATAAGAAAATATAGTTTCTCCTTAACCAGGCAGAGAATATTTATGAAAATTGGTCAAATACTAGGTCATCCAGCAAATGTTAATAAATTTCAAAGAATCAGTACCTTACAGGATATATTCTTTACCACACACTCTTAAGTTAGAAATCAGTAGCAAGATACCTAAAACAAAACATAGATCAGATATATAGATGATAGATAGATAGATACCCACAGTACTACAGGTCCCATTCTCTCTGGACAACTGTATAAAATGGGCCTACACTCACTGCTAAAAGGAATAAATATTGTGATAAAAACAATTTGATAATATCTACTACAGTTGAAGATGTGTACAACCTACACCCCAGATATATACTCTAGACAAGCACAATCCAGTAGAAGTGTAATTCAAGCCACAAATATGAGCCACATATATAATCTGGTAGCATAGTGCCTAAGGCACTTGACTGCTAACCAGAAGGCTGGCGGTTCAAACCCACCAGCCACTCCTTGGAAGGAAGGTTGGGCAATCCTACTT